TTGCTGCAGGAGATGTGACAGGGTAGGGAAACATTTTCATATCCTCTGGGATTGTCCCAGATTGAAGCTTCTGGTCTGATGTTAGGAAACATGCAAGAATTATTTCAGCAATATATCCCCCAAAGCCCCGTTACTGTGCAGGAAGGAAGATGCCCTGGATTTTGAAATGAAGAGAAGAGAAAGAAGGAAGTAAGGAAGAAAAGAGAAGAGAGAAAGAGGAAGAGAGATGGAGAGAGAAAAGAGAGAGAGAAAGGAGAGAAACAGATTACGAGAAGCAGAACGATTCACATACATGAATAGATAGGAATGTGATTTAAGTTCACACAGGTACAGCTGTAACATTGTCTCAGAGCAAACCCAGACATCAGCTTTGGAAAAATACTTGGCCAAATTAAAACCTTGAAGTGAAGCGATTTGTTGCTTATGGTGGTGTTTCTCAGATGATTATCAAATGCAACGAACTGACATAAAAATTATGATATGAACTCCCTACTAACTACATTATTTAGCAATGTGCTTGTGATTTATCTAGATGTAAAAAATGTTTATACAAGACTCTCTTGGTTACCATAATTAAATATGCACTAAAGAGGATGAGATTAAACTCCAGTAGCAGTAAAAAATTAAGCAATAAGCTTTACAGAACCTGAGCCCAGGAAGTCAATATATATTCCTGTTATAGCCAGTGCTTCATTGCCTCAATTCTGGTTTGTGCCCTTTGCTTTTTTTCACATTTTAATTTTTGGGTTTTTTTTTAATAGGAAAATAAATCTTTGTGCTTAATTTGTATAAAGACTGAATATCTAAGTGAGAGAAACCAGTGTATCAAAGGATTTACCTGCTTTCATATGTAAAACCTACTGTGCTTAGAAACCAGTACTTGAGCACTCACATTCACCTTTTACACGCAAAATCACTACATTTCATGCTGTTGAGTTCTTCGTTTGCAGCTGAAATATGCAACTGCTGGGGAACAAAGGTCTAGAGCTGATGTGGTCAGCCCACATCAACCTTGTGGACTCATAGGAGTTGTCTGAAGTCTGTCACTGAATGCAGAGCTCAGGCAGAGGTTTCTAAAAGCCTGTAGATACCCCTATAATGGGATATTCAGTGTCCTAGAAGTGAAATAGGTACATGAATAGACTGACACCAGAAGAAGGTCGACAGACTTCTTTCAGATGTGGGAATTTCAGAGCCAGGCTTGCTAATTCAGAGCCCTCAACAACAGTGGAAATGAAGTCCTGGTATTGCAGACCATGGGTTGACTCACTTGCCTGTGGTCATTTCTCTTCAATTCCTTTGGAAACTGTCTTCCCCAACATATCCCATTTTCCAAACCCAGGCACAAGTTTCACCCCTCTGCAAACCCTCTGTGCCAGCCAGGTGGGGAGAAAAGGGAGACCTTCCCTCTGTGCTAACTGTGCTGCAAACAGCACTATGCTAATTAAATGACAGCAGCCTGACAGAACAGATTACATGTCATCCCACCATTAATTAGTAGTTATTCCTTCCTGTATCAGAGGAGTTCAGTGTAATCACATCTGTGATCTCACATGCAAAACCCACTGTGAATGGCTGCCCACTGCACATCTGCATCACTCCCCACAATATGGTCCCAGCATGGTTCCCAAGACCTTTGGGGGAACAAATGGGTTGGTGCCATTTGCTTTACCTTTGCATAGGACTAGCCAGTACAGGAAGGGGAACGAGGAGCACAGGGGACTTGGCTTTCATCCTTCCTTGACAAGGAGGTGGCCCTATGTCTGCCACAATGCTCAGTCCCAGGGTTGTATTGAGTCTGTAGACTCGTTGTAATGGGAATTACAGGAGAAGGTAAGAAACCTGTGAAGTTCCAATGATGGTAGGAGATGGAGAGAGATCACCAGCCTGCAGCAGCTGAGCTCTCATCCTGACAGGTCTTCCAAGTTTCAACAGCTCATGCTCCCCTTCACATATACCAGGTCAAGAGCATCCTTGCTGGGTGAGGCAGCACTTGGGGAGGCTGTGGGGAGCTCCTGCAGGCATGGGAGGGATTTGCTGGCTGTTCAGGATGCAGTGTTGTTTGTTTGGCATGTCACCTCCAATTCCTACCCTGATTGCTCTGCACTGGTAGCCTGATTGTTTAACTTCAGTTAAGAGTGAACTGAACACAGGTCGCATGCAACACAGGGCATGTCTTGAGACTCACACTGCTCCTTTCAGGTGTGTCACTGCATGGTGGGTGCTAGAGACAGGCTAAGGGGCAGAGCTCATGAACATTGTGCTCAGAATGACAGCTTCTGTCCACCTACAAATCTACATCATCACAAGAAAATGTACCCCATGTCCTACCCAGGAAGGGGAGAATATTAAACCTATTGTTGAACTGTGTCAGAATCTGAACAGTAATTATGAATACTGCAATCTTTTGATGACTTATTTGAAAAGTCCAAATAACATTTTTAAACTCACCAAGCAATGGATCACCAGCACCAGCACACATGAACATCATAAACAAAAGTATCTATGACCCTATGGATACATTAGGAATAAAATATCACCCAAGAATAAAGTCTAACTCTGAATCATACAGTTATTTGTAGTCAGATCATTCAAGTTACTTTGTACAACCAAATTATTAAGATACAGTAAAAGCAAGAAATGAGTGCAGAAAAAAAGGTGAAAGTTTCTAATCAGAGATCTCTGTAGATCTGCTTTGATTTTTGTCTTTCAAGTACATAAAAAAGAAAAGCATTTGTCAGGGCCAGAGGGAAGTTATCTGATTTAGCACATATCGCTTTATGTTACTGAATGCAATAGGGACCTGATGATGGAGCTTCATTAAAATTTCTGGGCAGAGACACAGGTAAACAGGACTCATTTGGCTCTGCTGGGGCAGTTCTTAGAACCCAGCATATGCTAGATGTGAAGAACAAGTAGTAAGACCAGAGAGAAGACAATAAATGTAACCCTATTACGCCACGTTTTTCTCTTCTTCTTTTTAAAATCAGTAGTCTGAAGAGTGTTTGAATCTGTCAGTTCAGGTTCAATAAATACTCCTGTGTTAGTGCCAGGTTTAAAGCTGACGTTGTTTCTTCTGAGTTCTGGGGGACATGGAAAAAACCCCAACCCCTAATACCGTAGTCTTATAACTGAAAGTAACTTGCAGGCTGAGGAGCTGCCTGACCCATCCTCTAGGAAGAAGAAATGCCAACGGTTTTAGGTGACCTTTTCAAGGGCAGTTGTTCTCCCACCCTTTTTTTGCAGCAAAGAAACATGGACATTCCTGTACAAGTACACAATCAATTCCAGAATAATAATCAAGATGAAGTTTCAGCGTTAAAAACAAATACCAGAAAAAATTGTAACAAACACAGAGATTCAGAGCAGCAAGAAGCGTATATCAAAATGAGATTTACCCATCCCTTACTGGTTCCTCAGCAGTAGGAAGGTTCCTGGAGGAATATATCACATTCAGAGGGTAAAGGAGGCAGGGAAGAACAAAGACAAGACCAAAACAAGGTAGCAGCAGAAGAGGAAAGAAAGCGGAGAGGACTTGGGGGTTCATTCACAGGTTGGACTGATTGCACAGAGACAGGGGGAATCACTGATGTGGTGGCAGTGACAAGTCTGGATTTGGATGGAGGCAGGAAGCTGCAGGTGATTTGACTGCAGTTTGTGATTGCTGTGATGCGGGGAGGGACTTCCTGCCCACACTCAACAGCTAATAGTGGGCCAAGGACATGGAAAGAAGGAGGGAGTTAGGGCAGAGGAGGCAGAAGGGCTGGAGGACAGGACTGAGCAGAGGGGAGTGGGGGTTCTGGCCATGGAGGAAGTGATGGAACATCTCCAGGCTGGGATGAGAGGCCGGAAACAAAGGTAAAACAAATAGTGTCTTTGAATAGCATCTGAACCTTGAAACTGGCTAAAGGATTACATGGGGCATCCCCGAGTTTATTAGATCAGGAGGGCTGGATAGAGAAGTGCCAGTAAGTGTGCTGAACCATGTGCAGAGCAAAGGCATATAAAGAGAGTGCTCTTCCAGAGCTCAGCAGGAGCACTGTCAGAAGGGGTATTAACACACATGAAGCTGTTGGGGTACAAAGACCAAACCCAGAGAGGCTTTGGAAGAGCTCTGGCAGGGCTGTTCTCACCCTTTAGAGGGATGACCAGACAGGCTATATGGGTGGTGACAGGATGCCCCAGACATCCCTTAAGGTGTCTCTTCTGAGGCTACAGGGATAGATCTGTGGTGGGTGTAGGGGCATGAAAGCTGCTCCGGGTTTCTTTAAGTTCCCAGGTTCAGAGAAATGTCATGTGGCCACAGTAAAATAAAGGGAATTTGGAAGGGTGTGAGAGCAACCACTGGAACTTGTTGAGAGGGAGGCACTCCTCATTATGAAAGTAGGAAGGGGGAGTCCTGAATCTCTTCATGGTCTTTACCTATCCTGCATACGAGAAACTGGAGAGGCATCATGCAGTGAATCAGGGGCTTTAGCAGGTTATCCCAAACAGACCCATGCGTGTATGGACTGGACAGCTTGGATTTAGCTGTGAACCCAAATTGTGGCCGCAGGCTGTTATGCCCAAATCATGTCATCTTAGGAGCCCTTGCCCCCTGTTCACTGTCCTTCTAACGTATCTTAGAAATATGCACAAGCAGCACTATAAGTTGAGCGGTTTGGCTGACAAGATGGACTTTTTATTGTTGGTTGTCATTTTTATGGTCTTGGTTGCTTAAATCTGACAGCACCTTCCTGATGTGGAAGGGAGAAAGGAGCAATCAGACATGGGGAAACACAAGGGTGATAGGTAAAGTTCTAAAAGACAGAGCCATATTTCATCGTGAGCACTATTTTAAAATATGGTCCTATATTTAATGTTAATGGAAGCCATCATTCATGCATCATTGCCATAGGAACATTTCTATTAACATTAAGCATTCTTCGATACCAATAAATGCTACTGGCTGGCAGAGGAAAGTTACAACGTGTGTAATTTTGCTCTTTGTTTTCTCTTACCATGTGTAGGTGTCTGGGTGGCACTGTTTAGAATCAGGTGATTATAATTTTGCTCTTGGTCATCTGAAATTCACAGAAAAAAACAAAATCCCTTTAAGAAACAGAGCTCAGCAATGCCACTGATCTGCAGATGATAATTACAGCTCACAGCGTTCACAGGAAATCTCAGCATGATTAAAGAAAGGAGGAGAAAAAATGCTTAAGAAAGCAGAAGAGTCTGTTATGTAGTTCACTTAAAATTCCAGATGCAAGACGAGCATGATAATGGGAAACTGCCCCCCTTGTGCTGAGCCTGCAAATTACAGTTATCTGCAAAGGTGAAGAGCATGTCCAGACAGGAGCAAACCACCGCTGGTGTACCAACATCAGTGGTGTGTTCCTGGGGACTGCTGGAACCTCACAGCCCCTACTCCACCTCCCTCCAGCATGGAGGTTTTCAGGACATTAGCCCCAACCACATGAAAAACAGACTCTCCCTCTGTGACCACAACCTCAACAACAACGTCCAGTGTGAGTACACGGAAAGACAAAACAAGTGGCCTCATAAATGAGGGAGGTGGAGTTAAATAGTTGCCCATTTCCTTCCCCTGAGAAGTGAGAATGCTGTGAGACCGGATGCATTCAGTCTTAAATGCATCGAGCTGCAAAGTAAGAGTGTTCAATGGCACGATGACCGCTACCATTGTGGTTAGTAGCTACTCTTTGGGTTGGAAAACACTTTGTCACTGTAATAAAACCATTAGATAAGCAACTGCTGATAAACTTCTCTTGTCTTTAGTTTCCAGACAAGCCTTCAATAAGGAATGAATTCTTTGACTGAATCTTTACAACCCATTATGGAACTGTAGTAATATAGGCTGAGAAGAGATAACAAGAAACCTTCTTGCATCTCGTGCTCCCAGTGCAGGATGGACTAGTCTGATGCCGTGTCTGCTATTCTTACAACCCTGTCACCGATATTTCGCTTTTTCCCAAGAAGATCTGTTTCATTAGGTCTTTCTTACTGCCTCTTAGGCCAATTGTTTCTTTCCTGTCCACCAGGAGGGACATGGAGAAAATCCCCTTTGTTTCTGCAACAGCTCTTTATGGCAAAGCTCTTCCTATGTGTTCCTTTAATTTAATTCTTCAAGATAAACAATGTAATATCCTTTATGTTTCCCTATAAAACTTGCTTTGCCTTTGATTACTGCTATTGTAGCATCTTGTGCTCTCTCCAGTTGACCTTGATCGTCCTCAAATCTGGAATACAATGTGGGACATGTTTCTGGGAAGAGACCTTGCCAGTATAGAGATGAGTGAATGGATTTTTCCCAGTCGTCCACTCTTCTTCACAGAAACTTGCACCATCTTTTTCTTTTCTGATTCATGTAAAGTTTATGTTCCTCTGTCATTCCTTATTGCTTTTTCAAAGAAATGCTACCTGCCCAACGGGTCCTCAACAAATACAAGGCTTTTTAGTATTCCTATTTCAGTCCAATATGTGGCATTTTTCTCCATTTAATCAATTTATTTTCAGTCTATTTCTCCAATCTGTCAAGAACATTTTAAATTCTAATCCCACTCTCTAATAGATTCCTGGTCATCCAAGCTTCATATCAGCTGCAAATTTAATAAGCAAATTCCTTTCCACCTGTAAAAGAAAAGAAGACTAAAAGCACATCAGTTCATCCTTCTGATATTTAGTTACCTTTTATGTTTAGTCAGCTATGATGGAATCTACCCCATAGAGGTTCATTAAGAACATGCTTCTCAACTTAGTTTCACACTACTTTCCCAGAAGCCACTGAAAATCTTGCTAAGGTCAAGTTCCTTCATATCAACTATTAATCCCTGGCCACAAATCACAGTGAAAAAATAAAACTCAGATTAGCTTGACATGATTGCTTCCTGATAAGTCCATGTTGGCTGCTGCTTTATCTCACTTGAAACTCATCTGCCTGCACAGCATGTTGAATGTCTGTGTACAGCCGGAGTTAAAACCAGAGGTTATTTATTTGGATGACAACAGACTGAACACATTGGTTTATTTCTCCATCTAGAAAAGAGGCACTCATTATATACACAGACAGCTGAAATATAGAAAGGGTATCAATCTGGCTAGAAGTAAGTGATGAGCAAACCTTGAAACGAGACCAGGTTAATGTAGGTACCTAAAGTGCCCTTGAATACGTGGCCTACAGGTTGCCTAAGTTAGAATGTTCCTTTAGATCCTTCACTGCTGATTACTTTCAGCCAGCAGTAACCACTTTTGTCAGTTCAGTTTCTGTTCCTCCACATAGTCTAATTTCACTTTAGCTTGAAAACTGGACCAGAGGATGGGTGGCACAAGTAAGACAATGCATGTTTCTGGAGTGCCTGTAACTGTCCATAGGGATTTTCAGATATACAGAACCAGATGGGACTCTTCATCTAGATTCCAGCAAGCATGATACAGGATCCCACTCCTCAGTTTCTGCATTAGGTTTTAACTGTTTCTGGACAGACCTTTTCAGTAATAAGATTTTATAGGAGTGTATATGATGGAAAGTCTGATACATGTCTAAAAGAAATAGCTGCAGTATTTTTAGTCTTCATTACCAAACCCCACAATATACTTCAGGTCCCATCCGTTATCATCTGGCTTCAACTCCACAGAGCCATCCGTGTCTCTCCTGCATCGGGGAGCCACCACTGCTCCCAGCACTTCAGATGTTTCTCACCAGTACTGAGCAGAGGGGAAGGACCACTCCCCTTGACCAGCAACACTCCTCCAAATGCAGTCTAGGATGCTGGTGGCCTTCATTGCCACAAGGGCACATTGCTAGCTCATGTCCAACTTGATGTCCATTGTGTATTTTGGGTTATTTTACCCGCCATCAATTGCCTTATTTATAAGTTATTAAATCTATTTTTGAAACCTAGGTAGTGAGTAATGAGCTTTTTTATGGTGAGTTTTATGACCTCTCCTTGACATTCCCACTTGATAAATTCATTGAGCAGGACTAAATTGCTATACAGACACTTCTCTCCTGAAAGCCTTACAGAGTGAAATGTTTCCCTAGGAGGTAAACATCTTTCTATACGCTTTGTCTTGCAGCCTGTGGCTCCTGTGCTAGTCCCTCTGGGTTTCAGGCAGGTGTAGGGCTGCAGTCATGCGGAGGAGCTAAGGACAGCAAGGACTTCCAGCCTGGCTACAGGAAAGCTACATTTACAAAGCAAGTCACAGAAAACATCCAAACATCCAAACTGTTTGTTTTCTTCCCAACTAATGCTGCTTACACACCACAGGAGCTGACAGATAAAAGGTTACACAGAGATGGAGACGCTTATGTGTGTGAAAAGCAAGCACTTAAAACAGTGGCTGACATAACTTGAACACATTCATTGCTCCTGAAGGGAGACAACAGAGGTTTCTCTCCTGAAAACACTGAATACTCCATTGCAGTCACTTACTCTCACAACCTTGCTCCTGGGTGAAAGTGAAGTATGTCTTCATTGAGGACACACCTGCATCTACATGAATAGTCTTTTGATTCTAATCAGCTTTCCATTTCATGCCAAGTATTTTCTCTTTCCCTCTCCCTTTCCCTTTATCTTTCCTTTTCCCTTTCCCTTTTATTTTCTTTTTCCATTTTCTTTTTTTTTTCCCTTTTCTTTTCCCCTCCGTTCCCCTCCCCTTCCCTTCTTTTTCCTCTAAATACCTCAGGTGCTTTGAGGCTACTGCTGAAGAAATGCCATCCAGAATAGCCAGACCCTGAATTATTGGCATTTTCACGTAGCTGAGCTAATCAGACATCTGAATGCAGCACTGGGCTTCATTTACCACTTGTGTAGCCTATTGTAAACACTTTCTAAGCAATAAAATGCTTTACAATGATGGCTGAGCCTTCCTGCACCTCTTCAGGTTTAACAAGATAATGCTGTTAATTGTGAAGTGCCAGTTAGGCGGAAGCGTATCTATTGTAGAGACAAGAATTTGAGTTCAAAGCTATTTGCTAGAAAACTCCATTAGGGAATAAAGGATTCACAGTGCTCTGCATTGCCAGACCACAATACCAAATTTCTTAGCACAGCTGGAGGAGCGATCAGATACAATAATCAGCAGAAAGAATGAGATGTTTTGCTGGCAGACGTGAAACCAGTGCTCCCAATGCCTTTGCAGTCCAGGGTAAGACACGTGGACACACAGGGGTTTTTTAGGGCTTCAGGTTTTTTTCCAAAGGAGTAAGAACAAGAAGCATTTCGTAAGATAGTAAGGATTAGGTATTAGGAAAAATTCTTCCCTGTGAGGGTGTGTAGTGATAGTGCAAGGGGGAATGGCTTTAACCTGACAGAGATGGGAGATGAGATCTCGGGAAGAAGCTCTTCCCTGTGAGGGTGCTGAGGCGCTGGCACAGGGTGCCCAGAGAAGCTGTGTCTGCCCCATCCCTGGCAGTGTTCAAGGCCAGGTTGGACACAGGGGCTTGGAGCAAGCTGCTCTAGTGGAAGGTGTCTCTGCCTGTGGCAGGGGTTGGAGCTGGAGGAGCTTTAAGGTGCCTTCCAACACAAACCAGTCTGTGATGATTCTATGATGGTGATGATCCCTCTATTAATTCCTAAAACACACATGAATTTTTTATAAGATGTCAAGTGTCAGCCATGGCATCTAACAATTGATTTCAAGAAGCTCAACCATCTTTTCCACTGAGGATGATAAAACATGAAACTATCATTTTTCCAGTGCATATGGAGAGTGCTTTATGGCCCTTATGAGGCAATATCAGCTCCCTTGCCCATCTCTGGGCAATGGTCACCGTGACTGCCCACAGCAAATCAGGATCTGTCTCTCGCAACCTGAGAACACTATTGATGGGCAACTAGAATCGAGCATCTGGATTAGCTCGAGGGGATGCTGCTGGACAGCCCGTCACCCCCTTCTTCAGAGAGGCAGGTCTCCTTATCTGCTGAGGTGCCAATCTCAGCACTGACAGGAGCTTCAGTTCCTTTGGTCAGGAATAGACAGCTCTGGTTTGCATCATAAATCACTGAACTGTCTGTCTCCAGATGTAAAATTCCAGGTAACTGACAAAGAAAAATTTAAGTAG